TTTGAAGTACTGGAGTAGGAGGTGTACAAATACGTGGGTGCAGTGAGGGTATGAGTTCATCATGCACAGGTCCAACTGATAGGACAGAATCTTTCTTCTGTTCAGCTGGGTATTATCTCAGCACGGTTAAGTTAGGAGAGAGATGGCATTCATTGCCACATGTGTAACAGTGGTTCATGGAGCCCCTGGGAGAGTTTGTTATCAGTGTGACTGAAATATCGCGCTCTGAGCTTCCAAATCCTGTAGATAATCAATCAGTAGACTGCCTGGACCTCTTACAGGGGGATAGGAAGAGGTTCCGAGGGTGGGAGCCACCCTCCCCGCTTCTCCCTCCAAGAGATAGGCCTTTCTCTTTTTTAAGTTCATGAGACGACACTGATAGTATCTTCCATGTCTACACGGGCTGGAATAACTCACTGGATCAGATAAATTTTATATGCGACAACACACACACACAAGGATTCTCATCAATTATCTCATGGAAAGAACCTAGAGATGTGCCAGGTCCTTCATGGATTATATAGACCCTTTGCCTTTGTGCAGGAAAGCCTTGATGGTTAAGTAAAATCTTAGGAGAAGCTGTTTTTGGCAAGAGGCTTTGTTTTAATGAAGAAGAGATAGCCACACATGGTTGGTATAGAGTAACTCCTTTGGACTCTCCTATATTATCTATGTAATCCTCTCCTTTCATACATGCTCTCTGAACATTGAAGAGGAGTGTTAGAATGGAATTGCCGTAGATGCTGCTGTGTTTGCAAAAGGACACTTCTTTTTTTGTTGGTTCCTATTGGTGCCCTGTTATCATCCTGCCCCATGAAGCATGGTGTGGATCTATAGTTCTGTGCTAAACTAAAGCGCTCAGTTGGAACCAGCTCAGCATTTGCCTGTTTACTGCTTCTCTACACATAACGGCTTCCTTACTTCAAATAGTGTTTGAACAGCCTAAAAACATGTTTTTGGCTGCCATCCAGAGTTTGGCTTCCGCTTCCCCAGTAATGCCATAAAAATGCTCTGTCAAATAAATTCTCAGGAATTGAAAAGAACAAATTCTGTGCTCCATATGATTGTAGATAATAGAAACAGGCTTCAGCTGACCACCTGGCTTGATGCCCATGGACTAGGAAAACCGAATCACACAGAATCCCTTGGCAATGCTTTATAGCTATCAGAGTTAATTCTGTGCGTGTGATGGATGAGCTTTCCATTTAAAGAAATCTGCACATAGCATTTATCTGGGTCTTTTGGGTTCCATGAAATATTACCTTTGCTTCTCCTGCACTGTTGCCAATTAGTATCTATTATAAAGTTTTTGAACCTAGGATTAATTTTCTTTTGAGTAGATTTCACGTTGTTAACCATGAACAGAATCCTTCTATGATTTGGGGTGTGTGTGTATGTTTCCTGCCCCAGTGTTTCCTGGATATTGTAGCATCCTTATTCAGGATCCCAGCTGGAAAGAGATGGCACATTCAAATTAGGATAATTTAGGGAGATTTATTTATAAAGGGACTATTCACAAAAGTGTGAGTTGGGGGAAAGGGAACACAAGTAATGGTGTGTAACCTAGTGGAGCTGTTGCTAGCCCTGGACCAGAAAGGAGAGAAGGAAAGAACCTAGAGACAAAGAGTGTCATATAGCGACGGCTGCCTTTGGGATGGCCTGCACAGAGAGACATGGTCTGGCAGTCCAAAGCTACTCATCTCTTCCCTCCCTCTAACCTCCTGTCAGGGGTCCCCCTTGGGTGAACCCGGTCAGAAGCCAGAAGGTGCAGAGTCCTGTGATTTGGTTCCCAAAGGTCAGCTTCCCAGGGCAGAGAGCAGGACACAAGGCAGAATGTGGATTTGGAAGGCAAGTTGAAGGCATCTGGCACTTATCCCAGTGGAGGTGTCCAGTGATTTCTAGGAAAGGCATAGAAATCTTTTTTTTTTTTTTTTAAGATTTTTATTTATTTGAGAGAGAGAGAACATGAGCGGGGTGGGGGGTGGTGAGCAGAGGGAGAGGGAGAAGCAGATTCCCCACTGAGCAGGGACCCCCCCCCCCAACGTGAAATGGGGCTTGATCCCAGGACTCTGAGATCATGACCTGAGCCTAAGGCAGACACTTCACCTGCTGAGCCACCCAGGTGCCCCAAAGGCATAGAAATCTTAGTAGAAATCTTAAACTCACTTATATTTTTAAAAAGCTTTATTGGTATATGGTTGACATGCAATAAACTGCACATATTTAAAGTATACAGTTTGATAAGTTTTGATATGTATATATTGTGAAACCATCACCACGATCAAGATAGTGAATTATCCATCACCTTCAAAATAAACCCATTTTAATTTCACATTTAAGGTATTTTATATGGTTCTTTTAAAAGGGTATGGAAAGATAGAAGGAAATGAAGCAATGGCAAGTGCAACTCCAAAGTGGTGGTTCTGGAAAGATCCACAAAAAATGAAATTCAAGGCAATGTCAAAGCTTATGAGAAAACAATTCAATAGTAGCTTATAATAAATTAGAAAAAAAAGATTGTAAGTGTGAATTTTTGGGGGGCGGCTTCTCCTTTGTATCTGTTTATTGCCATGTATTTATTTTTATTTTTTTTCTTTCCTTTTTATTGTTATGTTAATCACCATACATTACATCATCAGTTTCTGATGTAGTGTTCCATGATTCATTGTTTGTGTATAACACCCAGTGCTCCATGCAGAACGTGCCCTCCTCAATACCCATCACCAGGCTGACCCATCCCCACACCCCCCCTCCCCTCTAGAACCCTCAGTTTGTTTTTCAGAGTCCATCGTCTCTCATTATTGCCGTGTATTTAAAACACAATAAAATTCTGTGAATCTGGTCTGTGTAAGTTAGTATTTGAATTGAGAAACCCAGAGATTAATCAGTATTCCGTCGTGCCAGCAGAACCATAGATGAGTGGTTGAGTGTACATTTTATCTGCTGTTCTTAGGCACCACAGCGTGCTCCTGGGGCAGCTCCAGGCTTCAGGGCATGTTCTCTATGACGCCACGCCGTCTCTCAAGAAAGCAAAGTGCAGCGTGGTGGGGAAGGCTTGCTATGTTGTTAATAAAAGAGCCTACGATTATTACTGTGGCACTGTTGAATGTTGAGTATGTCTTTGGTGATAGAGCTGAGTTGGGATCTCATTCCCTGAGCTTTATGCATTCTGCCTTGAATTATAAAAGCCAGCAAAACATTTGCAAACACACTTTTGCCATTTATTAATAACTGCTTACAACCCACCTGACAGCTGACGGAGGCCAGGGAGTTAGAGTTTGTGTGGAGAACTGGTACTCTCAACCTTCTGTGTCCCCAGAGCCCCATTTGTTCCAGGGACATCGGGAGTACCTAGCCCTTTCTAGAGAAGGCTTGTGTCCAGTGCAGAGTTGAATGTGAGACCCTAGTCCCACTTCATGCAAAGGAAAGTACCTCCCTGGCTAAGCCAGGACAAGGAGAAGAGGTGTGAGGTTTGCGGGAAGGGAGTGGTGGGCAGCCGAGGACGGAAGCCCCCAGGGACTCTGCTCTGGTTGGACCCCAGCAGGGCTGGTGTGCCCCCATCAGCACAGAAGCTGCGACAGGGCCATACTGGCCTCCCTCCTGGCCTTCAGACTCATCCAGCAAGTTCAGGGCCCAGGGCCTTTGCACTTTTTATTTCTTATGCCTCGATTATTCTTGCCTTGTATTTTTGCAAGGCTCTGTTACTCTCTCACTTGATTCATACTACTGTTGGAAATAGCTCCCCCTCAGATTTCTTTTGCCACCCTATCAAAGAATCACCTCGGTCACCATCTCCCTGGCCTACTTTATTTCCCTCATTGTAGGGCCCACTACTGGATATTATAACATCAATTCTCAAACTTTTTGGTCTTAGGTACCCCAAAGAGCTTATGTTTCTGTGGGTTACACCTTTCAAAATTCACCGTGTCAGAAATTAAAATAGAAATCTAAAAATACTTTTGTTCATTGAAAAACAGCAGTAATAATCCCATTACATGTTAACATAAATAACTTATGAAAAATAACTATATTATCCAAAATAAGAGAATTACATGAGAAGAGTAATACTGTTTTGTATTTTTGTATGTGTCCTCAATTTTTTTTTTTTTATGAACATATAACGTGTTATTTGTTTCAGAGGTACAGGTCTGTGATTCATCAGTCTTACACAATTCACAGTGCTCACCACAGCATGTATGTGTTTTCTATTAATAGAAGATAGCTAGGTTGTTATAATCTGTTGTAATATATTGTTTTGGTAAAAGTTTACGTAGAACATCTAGCCTCCTTGGAAAAGGAAGGGTTATTTTAACAGCCTTTTCATGTAATTGTAGATGTTCTATTTTAATATCACACCAAGACTCAACAAGGGATCATTTCTTAAAGGCTAATTGTTGTGTGGTCCTTGCGCCCTGGGCATATACTTGTGTGAACCACTCCCAACATGTGGGTCAGATGGCTGCTTTTTTTTCCTTTAAGAAAAAGTTGGTCACTGACTTTTGAAATTATGGTCTCCATAAAGTGGAATAAGAAAAGCAAGGCATTACTTTCATTGTATTTTTGAATAACCCTTAAAAAAATCACCAAATCTTGAAAGATTACAGAAGCCCCTTCCAAACCAAACACTAATTTCTCATGTGCACAAAAATTGGAACACTTTTTCCTTGATAGATCCACACTTCGTGTTATGGTTACTTTTTTTGAGGTAGGAGGTGAAATCCTAAGTCAATGGTTTCTAACATAATTCCTTGATAAATATTTGTTGAAATATCTAATGTTTATTAGAGTGCTTTTATTCATTTTTTCCAATCTGTTTATGGCCATTACCTTATTTGAATAAGTGAGTAAAGTGCCATTCAGAAATATCCGTAAGCTGGTACAGGAAGAGAGTTCAACAGTCAAATCTGCAGATGTAGCCAATAAATTAAGCAACCACTTTATCTGCTTGTTCGGGATGTTTCAACACCATCAATCTATAATTTCATGTTTGTCTCTTTAAGATCCACACAGGCTTACAACACCAAATAATCTGGCCCTGTCAGCCCAGCTGTGTCCCTCTGGATGAAAAACTGCTGCCCCAGCTTCTAAAAGAAGCAGGCTACACTACCCATATGATCGGAAAATGGCACCTGGGAATGTACCGGAAAGAATGCCTTCCAACCCGCCGAGGATTTGATACTTACTTTGGTAATGGAAACGCACATGTTTCTTTTACAGCTTAGACTAGCTGCAACCATCGCATAAAAATACACCCAAGTGTAATCAGATGAAATGACTGGAAACTTGAACACAGAATGAATTTGTCAGCACAGCCGTGGGGCAACTTTCTACTACCACCTCCGTCCACATGGCTCAGTGCTCTGCTCGCAGTGGGCAGTTGCCCACAGGGAGGCGCGTACCTTTGCCAGGGTATTAAATGCCGTGCTCGGGCCTTTGTACTCTTAGAGAACCTTATGACCAAAAGGGGATACAGCTTGCTTCTTAAAATAATTCCAGGCAAAACCCAATACAAGAGTATTTCCTTCACAAAGGTTCAGAATGTTTTTTTCTCTCCATGGACTGTCCCAAAGATTTTTTTTTTTTTCTTTTTCTGGAGATGGTAGAGGAAACTCTTTTCCATTGGCATCCTTCCCTCCCTTCTGTGAGATCTGTTTTTGACATCACTAGATTGGGGAAGACCAATCAAAAGAATAAAATGGAAGGGTAAATAACAAATGGTAATAGGAAGGATAATAAGAAATAAGAAGTATTTTATGGATTTGATAGCCCTATAAAAATGTGAAAACTTAGGTTAGTTTTTTAACTTACCCTCTTTTAACCTGTTAACAAATTATGTCTTAACTAACAGCCTATTTATCATCTTACTAGTGGCTGTGTGTCTTTCTGATGAGTTCTTTTCATACTGCGCTTTCTATCTGGCTATTTAGCTACCTGTTTACCTCTCATTTGTCTCTTCATTTATTTACAACCTGCCACATCCAAAAAGGAACACACGCTGAACATAAAAAGTTTAAAAATAGAGAGCGCCTGGGTGGCTCAGTCGTTAAGCGTCTGCCTTCGGCTCAGGTCATGATCCCAGGGTTCTTCTGGGATTGAGCCCCGCAGGAAGCCTGCTTCTCCCTCTCCCAATCCCGCTGCTTGTGTTCCCTCTCTCGCTGTGTCTCTGTCAGATGAATAAATAAAAATCTTTATATAAAAAAAAAGTCTGCCTTTGGCTCAGGTCATGATCTCAGGATCCTGGGATCGAGCCCTGCCTCAGGCTTCCTGCTTGGTGGGGAGTCTGCCTCTCCCTCTCTCTCTGCCCCTCCCCCCTGCTTGGGCTATCTCTCTCTCTTTCAAATAAACAAAATCTTTAAAAAAATAGAATAAAAAATTAGGGTGAGTAGAAAAAGATGAAATTGCAGCGTGGCACCAAATTATAAAAAAACTGCTTGGCTGTAGGTGGGCTTCACATCGAACTCTGCAACTTGAGATTTCTTATGTCCAAATTAAAAAAAAAATTTTAAAAAAGGAGACAGCTATAAGAGTCACATTATTTATAAGATAAATGGAAACCAGATGTTCAGGAAGAGTAAAGCATTTTCTGGCTCTTAGACCTGAGAAATCTCTCCTTTGGGAGAAGGTAAGGTGGACAACATCCTCAAAAACAGCACTTTAGTTATATAATGGTGGTTTTCTTATACGTGTTTCTTGAGACATTCCTTTTCATTCAAGGTAGGGCCAGAATGCCAAAGGGCATTTCAGTGATTATATGGGGCCCAAACAATGTAGTCAAAACACACATCTCTGTCATGCTATGTTGGATCTCGGGTTAAAGTTGAGATGCAAGGACCTCAGGCAGGAGATCGTATGTGCCCCGTTCCCATTCTGCTTCTCTAGCAGACATTGCTAAGCAATCAAGGCATTCTTTCTTGATGAACCTGGGTATATCCTCTGTATCCTCAAATAACTGTGAAAGTCAGACTTGGGTGTAAGAGCGCTTTATCATTTTGGAAATTCTAGAGGAAAAAACAGCCTGTATATCCTTTGACAATTTTCAGTCAGACCTTTGCTGAAAGATGGATCCATACCTATGCTCTGGCAAGAGGAAGGACTATAGGTATTTTAATTTTTTTACTAAAACCCAAGTCACATATTTAAAAATTGACTCGGACAGAAGAAAATCATATCCTTTTATGAGAATTGAGATGCCTGAAGATTCAGAGGAACAAACACCGCACATTCGTCTGAACTTGTAGATAGGAGGGGATAATGACCTTGCAGCTGTTATAACTGTTATGACTTAGATGTTCTGTTCAAAAGCAGCCAGATGATTGTGGGGCTGGTTGTACAACTCTGAATACCTTAAAGACCATTGAATTCTACACTTTAAGTAGGTGACTTGTATGGGATGTGACTTACGGCTCAATAAAACTTAAAAAGTCAGAGATTTAGTTGTTCAAAAAGTATTTTATGATTTTTCCCCAAGAAAGCATAGGATGCCATCTTCTTTAGGCTCAGCATGTAAGTGCAAATTTGTGAATCACTGTTGTGAGAAAAGCTGCATGTGATTGCCACATGGTTGTTTGGTATCAGTCTGGCCAAGTATGTAAATAAATAGTTCTATTCCTGGAATTCTCCTGTTTGTAATATCCTTTTAGTATTTATAGTTCATACTTTTTTTTTTAAGTGAGCCACCTAGGCACCCTATAGTTCTTACATTTTTTTTTTTTAAAGATTCTATTTATTTGAGAGAGAGAGAGAGAACGCACAAGCAAGGGGAGGGACAGAGGGAGAGGGAGAAGCAGGCTCCCCACTGAGCAGGGAGCCTGATGTGGGGCTCAATTCCAGGACCCTGAGATCACGACCTGAGCTAAAGGCAGATGCTTAATCGACTGAGCCACCCAGGTGCCCCCATACATCTTTTAATCAAGTATATCCTATGCTTATATTCTCTCGAGTAATGGACAATAGTTTACATTTACAGAGAAATAACCTGAAGTGATTTCCTCAAGCTCTTAACACCCAGGAGTTATTAAAAATTCCAAATAGAACCCCAGTGTCCTGACCTCTCTAATCATCCATATAAGGGCTAAGATCACTTTTATGGATACATTTCTTTCTCTCTTATATATTAATTAACAAACACATTTGAGGGGCGCCTGGGTGGCTAAGTTGGTTAAGCAACTGCCTTCAGCTCAGGTCATGATCCTGGAGTCCCAGGATCGAGTCCCGAGAGTCTGCTTCTCCCTCTGACCCTCCTCCCTCTCATGCTCTCTCTCTATCATTCTCTCTCTCTCTCAATAAATAAATAAAAATCTTAAAAACAAAAAAAAAACCCAAACACATTTGATTTCCCTTTCTGTTATATACATTAGGGGAAAAGATTGCCATGTAAAAAGTGGTCTGGGGCACCTGGGTGGCTCAGTCAGTTAAGCCTCTGACTCTTAATTTCAGCTCACGTCATGATCTTGGGGTCCTGAGATCAAGCCCCGCATCCAGCTCCACACTCAGCGCAGAGTCTGCTTGAGATTCTCTCTCCATCTCCCTCTCCCTTTGCCCCTCCCCTTGCTCGTGCTCGAGATAGTTTCTCTTTCTCTCTCAAATAAATTAATTAAATTTAAAAAAAGTGGTCTTAAGACCAAGGTATTCATTGTATGGACTTTGAATTTATTGAATCATGAAAAAGGAGGAAATTAATTAGAAATGAATTCATTTTTCATGTAAACTGTGTAAAGCATTTGATTGTGATGATAGAGAATGCTTAGGACTGAAGAAAGGGCTTGGTTAATAAGCATTATTTGTTAAGAGATGGCTCAGAGTCCAGCACAGCTTATTTCTTTTTAATAGCTCTATTGAGGTATAATTCACACGCCATATAATCCACCCACTAAAGTGTACAATTTATTGATTTTTAATAAATTCACAGGGTTGTGCTACTGTCATTACAATCCAATTGTAGAATATTTTCATCACCCCAGAAAGAAACCCCTTCTCTATCATCAGTCACTCACCATTTTCTTCCAACCCCACCAGCTCTAGGCAACCACTAACATAACTTTTTGTCTCTATAGATTTGCCTGTTCTGGACATTTCATATAAATGGAATCATACAATATGCTGCACAGCTTATTTTAATATTTTAGGAAAATATGGAACATTTGCAGAAACAGCTTTAGTTGAGAAAACCCATTTCCTTTCATGTTTACATTCAAATTGGGGGATAGGCAGTTGATGCCATTTACATTGGGGGCAAAACTGAGATTGTGGTTGGTAGAAAAACCTACTTTGATTGCCCACGTTAGTTTGATCTTTTGGTTCTGTTAAATTGTCTAGAGCTCCTGTTTGGAAAGGGTTGTGTCTTCTGCCAGTGGGTGTCAGCATCTGACTAAAGATGATTCCTCCTAGAGCTGCTTCTATAGATAACCTTGAAGCCAGTCTCCAAAGGTCAATATCAACTTATTTGAATCCGGTGTTCATTTATGTGATACCTCAGAGTAAAAACTTGTAAGAAATCACATTAACCCTATGCTGTTTTTGCCATTAAATAGCTTTCAAAGATTAAGATTTTATCATCTTTCCTGAATTTAAACTCTGATTTTTAAAAATGGATTTACTTGGAATCATCCACTTTGAGAGTTCCATGACAGAGCCTTGTGTTCTGAAGACTTGACTGGGGAGGAATGGATTTGAATTTTTTTACAATAACATTTTAATGCCTCCTGCTAGCAAATATAGAGATGTTAAGAAGTGGTGCTCTGATTAGCCTTGTCATTTGATTAGCCTTGTCATGGGTAATCAATTGCACTAGGCAATTAAATGCTGAAACATTAGTTTGTTTAGCAAGTTTTATGCTATGCTGACTACTTTCATCTCTGATTCTTGTTGTAGGATATCTCCTAGGTAGTGAAGATTACTATTCCCATGAGCGCTGTACATTAATTGACGCTCTAAATGTCACACGATGTGCTCTTGATTTTCGAGATGGTGAAGAAGTTGCAACAGGATATAAAAATATGTATTCAACAAACATATTTACCGAAAGAGCTACAGCCCTCATAACTAACCACCCACCAGAGAAGGTAAGTCTTGCTTTTTTACTGATATCAAAGTTGTGTTAAGATAGCATCTCTTCAGGTGAGTATAGGAAAAAGCTGCTTGTTTGGGAAAAAAAATCTAATAAATTCTAAGGGAGTTGTTTTTAAATTTTGGAGTGTATCGGTATCTGCCTGGGGAAGCTTGATAAAAATAGAAATTCCTGGAGCCCCTCTTTAAAAGTCTGATTCCTTAGGTCTGGGGGAAATCCATATATTAGCATTTTATTTTATTAATTAATTAATTTTAATTTTCATTTATTTTTAATGTGGGGCTTGAATTCACGACCCTGAGATCAAGACTTGAGCTGAGATCAAGAGTCAGATGCTTAACCAACTGAGCCACCTGGGCGCTCCCATACATCAGCATTTTAAAGAAACTCCTCAAGGGTGATTCTGACACCAAGGGTCCCCCGATGACACTTTGAGGAATACTGTGTCGAAAGTGTTTTAGTAGATACGTAGTTTTATTATTTTGGTGTCTTATGTGCATGTGCTGTAAGCAATTAGTACATTGACTTTTTTAAAATGATAGGCTTGTGTACAAGATGAGGTTGTAGTATGGCAAACTTTCTGTTAAGAGATCGGCGAACGTTGGGTTCAGGGCAAGTCCTCTTTGTATTTGGCCTCCCAAGGTTATTTTGGCTATTCTAGATATTTTGCATCCTCATATTAATTTTAGAATCACCTGGTCAATTTCTAGCAAAAAGTTCCTGCTTGGATTTAAATTTCATTGCATCTGTAGACCACCATGGGGAGAATGAATGTCTTAACAGTATTAAGTCTTTCATTCCAAAAACATGGTATACCGATGAGCCTGTTTTTCACATTTACTACATTGAAGCCATTGTGTATGTCATGTACTAAAATCTTAAGACTTATCTAAAGGTAAAAATAGAAAAGTGTGAATTGCCTTAAATGTTTTTGTTGTTGTTGTTAACCTAGAGTTAGCTTCATAAGCTAAATTCTTTGAATATACCTTTGAAATTGGGTCACAGATTTGTGTTGTTAGATACTGGGCCCAAAATGTGGCTTCAATGACTTGCATTAGCACACCAATGAAATTAGTCCTTCAATAAGACCCTGATATAGCAAATTACAGAATGTGCAGTATTATCTGGTGCTCCCAGTTTTCTGCACTTTGCTTCTTTGACAATTACTGAATGGCCTCAGGGCAGATCACAACTTAGATTTAGGTTTATATACCTGCTCCGAGGTGGTACCTGGCAGCTGACTCCCTTTTGACATAGTTTCTTCCTGGCTCTGCCTTTGCCTATTCTAATTCAGTATTGGGGGTCTTCCCTGGTATCTGTCCTCAGTTTTGCCCCACCTTGGGCTTTCTGTCACTCTCAATGCTGACATCTTGGAGTAGCCATGCTTCCTGTGGAGCTTGGAAGATCAGAAAGTTCTCTCACATATGTGGACGTACCCAGGTTTTAAATCTAGATCTAAACTGGGGCATCTGGGTGGCTCAGTCAGTTAAGTGTCTGCCTTAACAGGGTTCTGGGGTTGAGCCCCGTGTCGGGCTCCCTGCTCAGCGGGAGTCTGCTTCTCCCTCTCCCTCTGCCTCTCCCCCTGCTTGTGTGCACGTGCTCTCTCTCTCAAATAATTAAATAAAATCTTTAAAAAAAATGTCAGTCTGAACCACTTTTCAGAGAGCTGGGATAACTGCTAGGTAATTGGCTTAGGTTCTCAGTTTTCTTCTGTATGCTTGGTGTTTTATAGATAGTGCTAAAAACCCAAAGAACAAGACAAGGTCTTGAGGGAATTGTGGTTCTAGTCCTGTCCTTTGAGTTAGGCACCCTTTTATAGATAAGCAAACAAGAAACTTGGTCAAGGTCACAGAGCTACTGAGAGTCCAAACCAGAATTTAAACCCACACTGTTTGACTCCAGAGCTCAGTGCACTCAATAGGCATCCGGAGTTCACAGCTCGTATCTAAGACTAGAGGTTATTAGCCCCGGTATATGATTCAGCTTGATGGTTCCAATCTTGACAGTATATTGGGCTCATCTGGAAAGCTTGTAAAAAAGACCAATAACAAATATTGTGGTTTATTGGTGCTTGGTGGGAGGGTGTCATTGGTATTTAATTACCCCTCTGCCCCTCCCTCCCTCCCTCCCACTGGTGATTCTGATTATGCAGCCACTCTTGAGTCCCCTCAAACACAGGGGACAAGCTCAAGCCAACTGCTTTTTACAGGCTGACAGTCTAACACTACCTTAATCATGCAACAACTATAATATGCCTACGGTAAAAATGAGTTCCCATTAGGCAGCAATGGAGTATTCTCTCACAGTGCCCGTAACATTAAGCAGATAAGAGGAAGCAGCTGGGTGAAATAGTTCTTTGTGGGTGGGCTGCCTTCTCTGGTGTGGTGCGGAAAGCATGGGAACTGCGGGAAATGAGTCCCCAAGAGCTCGCCAGCCACCCAAACTTGTGTTAGTAATACAGTGCTGCTCATTGGTAGCATTATGGGGATTGCCAGATGAGAGGATGGGCATTTTCTGACAGTGTCTGAAATATTCTGAAGCAGTGTCCAGCATTCCTAACATCCTCAAGGTCAAGTTTCAAGCATAGACATAAATGAATGAAATAATCAGTACGAGGAACAGCCCCAGAATGCTTGTTTAAGACAGCAAATGCAGACGTTTACATTTTTAGTTCTCAGTAAGATGATGCATCACATAGTTCCAGGAGCTGCGCTTTTCATCATTTTATCCCAATGTTGAATCTAATTCTGTGCTAATTTCTTAGATGCTATATATAGACTATAACATAGCAACTTGTCTAAGATGGAAATCATTAAAGAAATACACACGAAGTATCCACAAGCCATCTTGAAAATGTGCCTATTTGAAAGAGCACTCGAGGGGGAAAAGAGCATATGGAGCTATTTTGTAACAGAAACACGGTTGGTGCTGGATTCAGGGAGATACTGCTAATAACCACTGCACATGTGTTGAGAAGGAATGTCTTTTTTTTCTCCAGGATAATTCCCTTAGTACTAACACTACAGTGTAAAAGCAACATGTCCATAACATATCGTCCACTTAAAAATAGTCCACCCCCAACACTTTGCAGAATAAAAACAAAGGTTTTTCTCATAAACCTAATCTACTAGAAGCTTCTTAAAGCAAATGTGAATTTCTAGCGGTAGACACTTTTTCCTGACACAAGTTGGAAAGACGTCTTAATTTGAAATTCAACAATAGAGCAATAATTTAAAAATGCATCCTATATTTTTTTAAATTTATACTTTAAATTAGGAAAGTATGCTAATGAAATGAAAGTAAGGCTTTCTTCCTCACTGGAATCAGGTTTCTTAGCACGGTGAGGATATTTAGAGTAGCTAACTTAGGAGTCGTATGGCATAAAAGAAAGGGAAAAGAATTCTTAGTGTCTTATCAATATGCTAATAAGTTTAGGTGATAATGTCATAGTTTTGTGTAATACTTAAACATTTGGTCACGATTCACATCTAGGATTCCGTTTTATATTCCTAAGGAACCTGAAAGGGTTATAGTTAGGGTTGTTGTCAAGTCGGCTGCTGTAACTGGCTCGGTCGCAGCAGGGACCTGGACCCAAGAAGGAGCAAGGGAGATCAGGGTCCCGCACAAATCTGGAGTCCATGGAGATCAAAACCAGCTCCAGGACAACCGTGTTTTGAATGATGTCTGTAAGGTCGTAATGTGCCCACAGGTGCCTTTCCAAAGGCGAAGGCATGACTGGGCTGGAACTCAAGTCAGTAGACAGCATAGTAATACTGACTCTGTCCCCAGGATGGCGGCCGCTTGCTTTAGGCTAATAGTGAGTTGACCCCATGTAGGCAGGTGTGGGGAGATCGACCATGTCTGTTCCCTGGGGCTGGGGGTGGGGACGTGTCTTACAGCAAGTGGTTGCAGGCAGGGTCCGGATTGTAGTTAGAGAACCTCAGAGCCCTAGTTAATTATTCTTTCCCCTAGGCCACCAGGCAGTACAAAGAACAATACCCTGCTCATTTTTTTTTCATTTAAAAATAGTATTGAAATGTTTTATATCTAGTGCTGTGGGAAATGAGTTGTTTCATCGATAAAGTTTACCTTGTGAATGTTGAAACTTTCCTTTTACAATATCAGATGGAAATACTCTCAGTTGTGTTGCTTTGGGCCTCACCTTATTAAAAGGGCTGCACTATACATCATTCTGCCTCTTTCTGGTGAGCCAGAGATGTATGGATGTGTGTGTCTGTCCACCTATACACTGCATGGCCCTCGATTACTGCTGGTGACATGGGGAAAAAAAAGATAGCTTGTTTTGTTCGAGGAACACCTTTATCTTTACTTGTAAGTTTCTAGGATGTGGTTGATGGCAATGCGAGGCCCTTGCCTGGCCTGAGACAGTCACAGTCCTCATCCCTCAGAGGTGCTTTTCACTCCCTCTTCTCAGCTGTGCTCCTTCTGTTTGAACCTAAAGGAGTCTGACCCCTGGAAAAATGGGGGAATTGCTACAGTTTTAAAACTTTGACCCCTCAAGAGTAATGGTCATGTCTTTAGCCCCCTACAGAATAATTATGGGAAAGGTTTTCAGGTAATGTTTTTCTGTATTTAACAAAGTGAGTAGAATGATTTCCAAACTGAATATTTGTGGGTTTTTTTAAAGATTTTATTTATTTATTTGATACACAGAATGAGAGAGAGAGAGTATGTGAGCACACAAGCAGGGGGAGCAGCAGAGGGAGAGAGAGAAGCAGGCTTTCTGCTAGCAGGGAGCCCAATGCCGGACTTGATCCCAGGACCCTGAGATCATGACCTGAACCAAGGCAGACGCTTAATGACTGAGGCACCCAGGAGCCCCATACTGAATATTTGTAAGACTCTCTAATGATGGTCTGAGAACTCTCCCACACCACCCTCCCTGGCCATCACCTCTAGAGATCAGGTGCGGGCTGGGAATAACCTGCCCTCTTTCTCCTTTCCTTCACCGCGTGCTTTGCCACGTTGCTGCTAATGACCTGGATGAGCGCATCTTCTCCTGAAGCAGTGAGCTCCTTCTCTCATTCCTCCACCCCTGCCCAGAGAAGCCAGACCGGGGTCACAAACTCTGGTGTTTACAGGGGCCAGGCTGCTGACCTAAATAAGTGAAGCCTCTCAGGTAGAAGAGTAGGGAGGCTCTAGAAATTGGAGAACACTTGAGAGTGAGGCCTCTATTTCATGCTCCAGCCATTTGCTACCCGATGGAATATGGGCATGGAGTTGTCGGAGTTCTGATTCTTCAAGAAAATTTTTTTTAAAAAATGGAGAGTTTTATGTGATATTTCCTGATTTAAAAAACTTTATGTGGGCGGCAATTTGTGGTAGCCTTCCGATATTTAATCCTGTCCCCATCCAGACTGTGGCTGGTCGGTGGG